TACCAAATAAATGACATGGAAATATTCCGATGTAGAAGCCATATCGCATCTTAGGTGGCATGATTGGGTTTCAAATATAGAGTTTGCATCGAACTCATCACAAATCTTCTTCTCTTATTCTCATCTTCTCGACAAAGTATTTTGTTATGGTGTCAAACTCAACAAATAATATGGGTATAATATGAACTTCAAAAACATTGTTACTTTGCACTAAAAAGTAGTACAAGGTATGCATGATCGATCCATGGAGATACGAGAAAAATGATTATACCTCTTTGCATAAGTTATTTGAGTTACAGTTAAGGGGGTTGTGATTTGGATTTATAGGAATCAAGACGAAGCCCCTGCGGGAGGTATTTGAGTCACATTTGTTATTTATACTTGAAGTGTATCCTATCGATACAAACCTTCAAACGGAGCCCCTGCGGGAGTACGAGACGGAAATATCCACTCCCGCGCCCCAGTCTCGAAAATAAAACGAGGTTTAATCCCGCTTCCGCCCCCGCCTCCGAATTTTTAAAAAATTAATTATGTACGGAATCGGGCTCCCAAGGGGACGGTATCCCACAAAAGTTTTTGACATCCCTACTCCAACTTTGGTGTGTGGGCAGGTGGTTAGAACATGTTTCAAAACATGAATGATATGTTAAGTTGGATTGATAACCAAAGGTCTTTATGCTTTGAAAGGGAAATAATTGATACGGTTTCTACAACGGGTTCTATGGACTAATCGGAACGTTGTGTTCGGAGGAATTACTTACAAAAAAGATATTTTGTTTGATTCGGTGGTCCCGTTTTCGTTTAATTGATTTTGTTATAAAAATAGCAAATTTAAGAAAAATTATACAGCGTGGTTGTGCAACCCGCTATTGAACTAGTTTGTTTTTTAGTTACTTGCCTATGTCAAGCATTTTTTATATATTGTGGTTCCAAAAAAAAAAAAAAAAAAGAAAAAAAGAAACTCACTATTTAAGTCATTTCAGGTTTCAAAACTCAGCTAAACGGTCTAATGGTAATAAGGTAAAAATATAAAGGATAAACTTGAATCTTATATTTACTGTTATCTAAATATCACGATTTACCTTAAGCAAGTTGAAGTTCGTTTCCTACGTCAAAGAGTTGTGGCTTACAATTCAACGCATTTGGTCAAATTGAATTTGTGGCTTCAACTTTTGCTCTTTAAACTTTTGACTTTTAGCTCTTGATCTTAATTTTATAGTGATGCAAATAGGGGCTTTTTAATTAATATACAACCAATTTTTGGTAACCATCAAGTGCGGAAGCATGATGGTCCATGGAACTAGGCTTCATTTTCGGCCGAAGGCCACTGGTCCTTAAACATGGATTACTTTTTAAAATAAATAAAAAAAGACCATAAAGTGTTAAATTCTAGTAAGAATAAGATATATATTATATTTAAATATGATTAAGACTATGTTTTTAAAAACAACATAAAATATAAAATATAAAAGCTAAAAGTTAAAAGTTTATTTTTTGATTTTTACACATTTTGGTACTGAGTTTTTTTCGTCCACAATTAACTCTTCAACTTGTTAAACTATACACATTCAATCCTTATAACCGGCTACTCTATGTTTATCTGGTAAAAATGATGTTTTTTTTAACACATGTAATGTTCGTTCGTATTTTGTGTACAAATAATATATTTAAATAGTATTTTTCTTAGTAAAGAAACAACAATAATATTTTTTGAATATTTTGAAAACCGAGTAACCTGATGGTTACCTACAATAGTCGGTTCAATGGTTTGTGTACTAAAAAAAAGACAACGATCTTTTTTATGGAACTTCGTTATCTTTTTAAATCATTTTCCTATTTGAAAATGATTGTGAGTTTCAAAACATATAAGTAAATGAATAAATCCAACTTCAATTCATTTCAAAATATTTTGATGGTTTTAACTTGGAATATTACCGATTAACCCCTCAAACCTTAAAATTGAAATTCTCTTTCGGCTATTGACTATAAAGATGTCAATTTGTGTGGCTTAGTGTTGGTATCATTTGGTCAACTAATTTGTAACTTCAACTTTTGCCCTCTAAACTTTTGACATTGGCTCTTTTAATCAAGTTTTATTAGTGAATAGTAATGCATATAGGCGTTTTAGTCAATATACATCGAAATTTTGACATCTCTCAAGTGCGGAGGCATGACGGCCTGACAGGTCAATGGGCCACGGCTTCCTATTTAACCAAGTTGGATTATTTTTACTGAAATATTTAAATAAAAAACTATTTCATATATAAAAGTTCTAATTATTACATCTCTACATTAAATACGAAACTTATAAAAACAAATATGCAATTTTAAACAACTTAAATTCTTTATAATCGGGTTTTATGTCGTTTTGATATTAACCTAATTTTATTTATAATTATCTATCTACGAGTCAAATAATTAAAATTTTAAGAATTAAAAGGATAGTAAAAAGGTCGCTAGGATTATTTTTTCCAGTAATTTCAAAAATAGTTTTTACTTTTTTTCCAGTAATTTATCAAATCTATAAAAAAAAGTAAAAACCGTCTCATGCACCATGGATATTGCAACTGAACAATTGGTTATAGATTCTCTTTATTACATATTATAGGGATAATGACTTGAAAGGGTAATGAACTTTTGACTTTTGTCACATTTGGTCACTAAACTTTTTTTCGTTATCTATTTGCCATTGAACTATTGAAACTGTTCACATTTTACCCTTATGACCGGCTGTTACCGGTCATAAGGGTAAAATGTGAACAGTTTCAATAGTTTAGTGGCAAATAGATAATGAAAAAAAGCTTAGTGACTAAATGTGAACAAAATTGAAAGTTCGTTTCCGTCTAAAAAGTTCAATGACTAAATGTGAACAAACTTCCTATTGTATTATGTTTTAGCAAAATTATTTATTTTTGTTTAATTGTAGCAACATTTGTTGATGAAGAAATGTAGGAAAATAAAAAAACAAAATGTAACATCCGGATTTCCAGGTATCATAATTTAAGTATTTTTATTTTGAGTTAAGAAGAGAGACTCGACGAGTTGACGCCTCAACTCGTCGAGTAAGGTCGCGACTGATGACTCGGATTAATGAATGGACTCGACGAGTCGGTGAGGCGACCCGACGAGTCCGCGCTGTTGGCAGAAACCCTAAATCTTTGGGCCCAAGCCATATTGCCTTCAATTGCGACTACCTTTCCCATAAGTAAGAAGCCTAGCAAGCTTGAGTGTGTAGAGTGAGAGGAAGAGCTATCTTGAGCTTTTTGGTGTGATACATCTGGACCTTTCTAGGTCTAGAGAGCCGAAAATATTAAGTTTTAGTAGAGTAAACCTTGGGGTTCGAAGTTAGGAAACATTTATTGGATTTTTATGGTATATATAGTTAATTTCATCTTACACATAGATATGAAGTATTTTATATAAATTACGTGCTACGTGTGCATATTATTTGAATACTTGTTGTCTATGCTGGATGAACGATTTTATACATGTTTTAAAAGATTTAAACCGTATATTTATTTTATATCTACAAATATGTTGCGAATGGAACATGGGTAGATGAAATAGTTGGTGTGTGATGAAATAAAATGATGAGAGATAGGTGATGATAGAAAGGTGATGATAATTCGGTAAATAGATGATGATGAATATGTGATGTAGGATGAAAGAAGATACCATAACCTTAACCAGCAATGTGGCGATGTAGTCATCTACCAGAGTATAGATGGCGACCACGTACCATTCTAGACAACCCAGTGGAAACACCAACAGACCCATAACCTGTAGGTGATGAATTACGAGTTCAAGCAATGTTGTAACTACGTATTCATGCGATGATACTCTAACCCCTTACTATGAATTACGAGTTCAGACGATATTGTAACTACATATTCATAGGATGTCACAAATTTCGCATGCCAAACCAATGGTCATAATTCACATTAGTGAGAATGGTTCATTTTTTTGTAAAACCAAAATCAGATTGGAAATTTTGATTTTTTATTTTGGAAAACATCAAACCATTGGTTTTTTATTTCGGTTTTGTTTTTTTTTAAATATATTTTCAGGGTTTTGTTTTTTTTTTTTTTTTTTCATAGATTTCTTCATCAACAAATGTTGCTACAATTTAACAAAAATAAATAATTTGCTAAAACATAATACAAGAGGAAGTTTGTTCACATTTAGTCATTGAACTTTATAGAGGGAAACGAACTTTCGATTTTGTTCATATTTAGTCACTAAACTTTTTTTTTTTATCTATTTGCCATTGAACTATTGAAACTGTTCATATTTTACCCTTATGACCGGCAACAGCCGGTCATAAGGGTAAAATGTGAACAGTTTCAATAGTTCAATGGCAAATAGATAACGAAAAAAAGTTTAGTGACTAAATGTGACAAATATTGAAAGTTCGTTACCCTTTCAAGTCATTATCCCCATATTATATTATATAACCATTTCAAAAAGAATTTCGGAACATGTTCTATACTATTTTGGTTATCAGATTCTGTTTTATTACATATTGTATAACCATTTCAAAAAGCACTTCGGAACATGTTCTATACTATTTTAGACACTTTTAGATATATTTTTAGGAGAAATATAAATATATAACACATAAACTTATGATATAAAATTTAAATATAAACTATAGTTCTTTATTCTTTCTTTACTAGTTAATTTATTAAATAATTATAATTATAAAACTGTTAGAATCATCGAATTGATTATAACAACTTCAAATAACAATAATTTATATCTTAGAGTTGTATTATAAACATTATCTTTTTGTAAACTTTTACACAAAACAACATTTAATTTATTAAAATAGTGGAGATTTTCATATAATCAGATGTGACAACTGACAACTCTCAACTTGGAAGAAGAAAAGTCTGCTTCCACTGTATACATAGTATATATATGATGTGAATTCATGATATTGTGAACGGAAACAACGACGGCCGGAGGCGGTGGCTGCAGAGGCAACAGGATTTTGAACGATGGCATCACGGATGTGGTTGTGCATGTGCTTTTGCTTGACGATAACTGTCGCCATAACTCGAGCTCAAAACATCACCGATCCAGCTGAAGGTATTACGTCATCCTCTGTGTGTGTTATTTTATGCTCTCATTCTCCATGCGATTAAGTTATGATCTCCGATTCTGCATGGCTGCTTCTCCTTTCTGCTGTGTGTGTGTGTGTTTGTTGGTGAGAGAGATATTCGTTCTCTTCTTTATTCAGATTTTGATTTAAGGTTACGTGTTCATTTGCATTCAAAGATATTATTGATTAGATGCCCTAACAAATCCAGCTTTGATTCAATTATTCGAACTGAAATTTGATTACAATTCTTATGTATCTTTCGCGACCTGACGCAATAATAAATGTTAATGTATGACTGTATGTGTAAGCTTAAATCGAGTTATTCGAGCTTCAATTCAACTTGAAATTGTTGGTTTTAAGCATATTATTGATTTAATAGAAGTATAGAACATGATTTTTGATTAATATTTATGCGCTATTTAATTCTCGAATCAAGTTCGGTCATAATAGCATCAGGTCATGAATCGAGCTACTATTGATTTTAAATTTTAAATTTTGTTAAGTTTTCTCAGGAACCATTGTATTATGCATATATATATAAAAATATTAATTATGTTTTAATTTATAACTGGTTGAGTAAAATAAAAATGATTTAGATAAAAAAAAACATTAATGATTACAAATTTTTTATTTTAAGAGATTAAATTGTTATTGTGATTACATGATATTATGTTATTAACAAATGTTTTAATTAACATATTTAATAATAATTTTAGAATTAAAAAAAATAGAAATATCTGTACATATCAACGGAGCCCACTCCATTTATTTTGGCCAAGCCCACCTGCTGTACTAGATTATAAAGTTTGGAAGCTTGTGTTGTACATTTTTGAGTTATTTGTATGATTTTTTTTTCCTAAATTAAAATTATGTGTTACAATTATTGTATATCTCTGGAATCAAACGCGACTTAAAGTCCCAATTCTACATGTCACGTGGGGTGGGGTTGTGACCTGTGAGTCGTGTCGATGCAACTTGTACAATATTAATGGATTTAAGTTGCATAATATAAATGCTGTTAAAAATGGTGCATTTGACTATTTCGAAAAACATAATTGAACAGTAAAAATAATACAAATTTCAGATATGCTCATACATTTTTAGTCTGTTACTTGAAAAGGCATTACCAAAACCATTACCAAAACCAACATAGGGTATACATAATTGACAATTTTGGATTGTTTTCAGCTATTTTGGAGTGGTCTAGTTGTTTGTTAGGGGACTATTTTGGACTACTCTTTTTTGACAAGACTAATTATATCCATGTAAATATTTGTAAATTGCAATTATTTAGTAGGTAGATAATGAGAAAAAGTAAATAATTCAAATTACCAGTAGTTTTTCTGCAAAAGATATTATAATATTTTTCTGCAAAATGTATTAAAAACTAGTTTTTAGGTAAAATATTGAAAATATAACAACTTTATAATATATATCTTGAAAAAAATCTACTAAAATAGAACATATTGGGTAATTCTTTAATTTTTTGGAACATTAACCTCAAGTTAAAGGATTAAATGATTTATAATCATATTAATAACAATAACCAACATTTATAGACGTTCATTGAAATTCATTATTTTCTAAATCTAAATTATTTTAGTTTTTATATAACCTATTGTGAAAACGCTTTATAGATAAATTCAAAAATCAAAACCTTAATTGGCATTGGGAATTTGTTAGGTGGAGAAAAAGGATAAATATCAAAATCTGGGGGCTTTTCATATTTAACTAAAAGTAAAGGGTTGTATTTGACAATTTGTGAAACAAGTATCTACCGACTTTTATGTCATCATATTCCGTTCTCTTTTTCCCGCTTGAACGAGCAAATGCTGGTTATAGCACGGTGGTTAATACGAAAAACTGAGATTGTGGCCATTAGGTTTGAAAATAAAAATTAAAATCAAGATCACGACTGTGTCACTGTTGAATTAAGTTGTCGATTTTGTTTATTGAAGACTATGATTACTAGTACAATGGTTATGATCTCGATGTTGAATGAAACTGAAGAAAATTGATGTTTCAGCGCGAGTTATAAATGCAATGTTCAGCCAATGGGGAATAGCAGAAATTGCAGTAACAGCAATGGGATGGAACATAAGCGGAGAATTATGCAGCGGCGCTGCCGTTGACACTACCACGGACTTCGATTCCCAGGGTTACAATCCCGGCATCAAATGCGACTGTAATATCCCCAATTCTACTACTTGCCACATCACCCGACTGTAAGTGCTTCTGTCATGTCTGAATGAACTTTAGAACATCTATCTGTCTTTTGGCCACTTCAATTGTTACTTATTATATGCATTCTGTTTATCTTTTAACAATCATCATTTCCCCGTAATTCTAATTCATCAGAAAAGTTTATGCAATGGACGCTGTGGGCCCGATCCCAGAAGGACTCTGGACTTTGAGATACCTTACAAATCTGTATGTATTCTGCTATTTCTTCACTGATATGCTTTACTGTTAACTTTCTTGAGTAATGCTTTTCCTGTCTTCTATTTCTACTAAATAATCAATTATTTGCTACAGTAATTTGGCACAGAACTACTTGACAGGTCCTTTGTCACCTTCCATTGGCAATCTAACTCGTATGCAGTACATGTAAGCCATCCATTTTATGATAATTTAAACTCAAACGACCATTTTGACCTCTATATTTGTAAGAATACATTTGTGATTTTGAAATTTATAAATTATATAATGGTAAATGGTACAAAAAACATTCTTTTTACACAGAAATTCGATTTTGATATCGTGTTTTTTTTTTTTGTGTCAATTTTGACATTGTGTTTTCCAATTTGTTACAATTCTGACCACTTGACCGGTTAACCAGGTTACATGATGACGTGTCAGTTTTTGATGATGTGGCATGTTGACATGATATGCTGACGTGTCAAAATTTATTATTTTTTTTCCACATCATCAAAATTGACATGTCATCATGCCACGTCAGCATGTAATATGGTTAACCGGTCAAGTGGTCAGAATTGTAACAAATTGGAAAACACAGTGTTAAAATTGACACAAAAAAAACACAGTGTCAAAATCGAATTTATGTGTAAAAAAAGTGTTTTTCGTGCCATTTATCCATTATATAATGATGATTTTGAAACTTATTGTAGGACTATCGGTATCAATGCTTTATCAGGGCAGGTTCCACCAGAGCTAGGGCAGCTTACTGATCTTAGATCACTGTATATTTCTTCCTATTTTGTTTCTATTTCTTCTGTTTAATTCTTTGTTGTTTACAATTTTCTATACTATTTCTATATATATTTTTTTATGTTGCAGGGGATTTGGCACAAATAATTTTAATGGTTCCCTGCCATCTGAACTTGGAAATTTGAGAAGATTAGAACAGATGTAAGAACATTCATGATTATGATATTTAACCAGCTCCATTGATTAAATCTTCTAATATCATCTTCATGCATGTTCATTTTGTCAGTTACATTGATAGTGCTGGAGTTGGTGGTGAAATTCCTTCTTCATTTGCTAATTTTCGGAACATGCAGACAGTGTAATTGCATTTATCTTTAATCATGTTTCAAAGTTGTAATTCATCCATCATATAATAATTCTGACACTTTTCATTTTCATAATGAATTCACAGATGGGCTTCTGATAATAATTTCACAGGCAGAATACCAAGCTTTATAGGAAATTGGTCACAGTTACGATCCTTGTAAGCAAAGCATTTAGAATATTTACATGCTTTTCACTGTATAATTATTTACATGCTTTTCACTATGAACTTTTTAAATATAATCTATGTTTGATGTTCCTATAGGAGGTTTGAGGGGAATTCTTTTGAAGGTTCAATACCACCTTCATTTTCTAATCTGACCCTTTTACAGGACCTGTAAGCCTTTATTTTATTTATAATTGATTATTATACTTTGCAAGTTGCTATTTTGATCTTTTAATTTGTTTTCTATATTGTTACAGGAGGATAAGTGGTTTATCTAATGGAACTCTGGATTTCATTAGGGATTTGAAGTCCCTCAATGTTCTGTGAGTATATATATTTGATCTTTCTTTAGTAAATATATTGATTTTTCTGAAGATAAAATATAATGAGAGGGCAATTCTTGCAGAATGTTGAGGAATAACAGAATTTCTGGCTCTATTCCATCTGACATAGGAGAATATGTAAACTTGACACAACTGTAAGTAGTTTGAATTGAAACTGAATTATCTAAATATAATGATTTACTTTCGTAATATGAATATATAAACTAATAAATAAAATCTCTCCAATTGGGTGTCTACTTTCAGGGATTTGAGTTTTAACAATTTGAGTGGGCCTATTCCATCAGGGTTGTTCAACTTGAGCCAATTGTCCTTCTTGTAATCCACATTATCTCCTTCTATTATAAATAATATTTTGCCTACAATTTGGTCAATAAGTGTAGACATTGACCAAATTTACATGTCATCATTTTTAGGTTTCTTGGAAACAATAGTTTAACTGGCACTCTTCCTGATGAAAAGAGCAGAACTCTGAGCAATGTGTAAGTGATTGTAGGCTAGTTAAGAAAAAAAAATGATTTTTTATTTCTTAATAATTTTCCATACAATATTCTGTTGGCAGTGATTTGTCATACAATCAACTATCTGGGACACTTCCTTCTTGGGCCAATAACCAAACTTTACAAGTGTACGTACTTTTAAATTCTGATTTGCATTTTTTTCATTCAAAGTTATTTTCCATCATGGTTTTTAAAGCTAATATCACATTTCTAATGCATGTACATGCAGTAACATAGTTGTGAACAACTTCACTTTAAACAATTCAGCATTGAATTGTCTCCAAAGTGGTTTCCCTTGTAACCGTGGATCACCAATATGTAAGCAAAAAACATCAACTTTCTCTTTGTTATTAATTACATTTTTGGTCCCTATTCGAGGTTTTTGTAATGTTTTTGGTCCCACTATATTTTTGGGACAAAAACTAGTTATAGTCAGGTAACAGAAATCTTACAAGAACCTGAAGTAAGGACCAAATTGTAAGAGAAAACTTTTTGGGACCAAAGTTGCAAAAATCAACTATACTCGGGTACCAATAATGTAATTTAATATAACTGGATCTGTGGAGTCCCCTGTTGATGTTGGTTTACACTTACAGATAGCGACTTTGGAATCAATTGTGGTGGCCCACAAATTACATCCTCAAGTCAATTAGTCCATGAGCAAGATAACGAACAACTGGGGCCCGCAACATACTATTTGACTCCTGAAAGGAGGTGGGGTGTCAGCAATGTGGGACGAAGAGACAATCCGAGATACACAGCCTTCGCTCTACGCCAATTCACAAACACTTTAGATTCAGAACTTTTCCAAACAGCAAGACTCTCTGCTGGATCTTTAAGGTATTATGGTTTAGGCCTTGAAAATGGTAACTACACTGTAAACCTCCGCTTCGCAGAACTTGCAATAGAAGATGGTTCCACTTGGAGAAGCCTTGGAAGGCGCGTATTTGACATTTATGTCCAGGTCTGTTATCTGTGTTAGCTGTTTCTTTTTGATTTATTGAACTTAATGGTCAACCTTGTTACATGGGTGGTGAAAATCTGTTTTTTTTTTTTTTTTTTTTTTTTTTATATCAGGGAAACCGGGTTTTTCAAGATTTTAATATTAAAAGGGAAGCAGGGGGGGCTTCATTTAGTCCTGTTTCAAAGGAAGTGACAGTTGAGGTTATAAATAACTACCTTGAGATTCATCTATTATGGACTGGAAAAGGAACTTGTTGTGTACCTGATCAAGGAACTTTTGGACCTCTCATATCAGCAATCAGTGCTACACCAAGTAAAACTCTTTCATGAAATTGTTTTTTCTTAACTTTTTGCTCTTGATTGACAAAATGACAAGACAACCCCCTTTACTTGTTTTTTTTTTACAGATTTCGTCCCTACCGTGCGCAACATTCCACCTTCCAACAAGAAGAAGAATAATACCGGTTTGATTGTAGGGATTTTGGTTCCCATTATAGTTGTCAGCTTTTTGGTGTTATTAGCCCTGTATGTTCTTCGTCAGCGAAGGAAAAAGAAGAATAATGATGACAATTATGATGAAGGTAATTTTCTTGAATCTTTCTTTATGACATAGATGAATAATGTTTTCCATTGTTTTTCCTTTGATTTTCTTTATAACGTTTATTAATTTGCAGAGTTCCTGGGAATTGACACGAAGCCTTATACTTTTGGCTATGGAGACTTGAGAGATGCAACAGATGATTTTAGTCCTGCAAATAAACTAGGGGAGGGTGGTTTTGGACCTGTTTACAAGGTAATTTACACTCTTTTTTTTTTTTTATTTATTTATTTTTTTTTTTTATTTTTTATCAAGAATTTAATTTTTGGTTTTTAAACTCGAATGGAATGGAATGACAAAAGAATGGAACAGACAGGGTAATGGAACGAGAGTGATTACATTCCATGCTCATGTTTGGTTGGCTTGTATGAATCGAATGAATTTTCATATGATTTTTTATATTATGTGTAAATACAACTTATACTTTTAATGCTACTCTATAGAAATTATCTCAAGGAATAATCACTAAAATGACCAAAATGGGTGGTGCCCTATCATGAAATGATTACCTTTTGAACAGTTATCACGCAATAACCACCAGCTTTGCAACAATGATTTTGCAAAATTGCTTTATGAATTGCCCAATAGAATTTTGCAAAGAAAAAAAAGTCAAAGGTTTTTGTAAGGATTACCATTTATAAAGCGATTTCAAAAAGTATATTGCAAAGCAAATTTTGGTAGATATATGGTTATTTTGTGGTAAGTGGTCATTTGGTGACCACACCACCCATTTTGGTCATTTTGTAATTATCCATATTGTATTTAGAATAAATTATTGTTTTTGGTTCTTGAGTATAGCTGATTTTTGCAATTTGGTCCTTACGTCAAGTTCTTGTAATCACAAGTACAATGACTATTTTTGATCCTTGTACATAGGCTTTAGATAATTGCAATTTTGGTCCTAAAAGTATAGTCACTTTACTTGGAACAGAGACTAAAACGTTGGAAAAACCTAAAATAAGGACAAAAATTGCATATGTGCTTTTTGGGACCCAAAATCTCAAGGATCAGCGATAGTCAGGGACCAAAAATGTAATTTACTTTTGTATCCACATTCCTTCAAAACTGGTTGCATTCCATTCATTCACACAAAACATAGAGGTCTTTTTCATTCCAATGGAATGAATGATTTCACCATTCCAAACAGGCAAACACTAGCTTAAAAAATCTTTTCAACAATAAACAGGGAACACTTAATGATGGAAGGGTAATAGCTGTGAAACAACTCTCCATAGCCTCACACCAAGGCAAGTCCCAATTTGTTGCAGAAATTGCCACAATATCTGCTGTCCAACACCGTAACCTCGTCAAACTCTACGGATGTTGCATCGATGGAGAAAAACGTCTTCTTGTCTACGAGTATCTTGAAAACAAGAGTCTCGATCAAGCATTATTTGGTATAAAAACTTACATATTTTTAGACATCAATTATAAAGTACTAAAGTTTAATTAATGTGGTAATGTTACAATTTTTTGGTCTATGATGTAGGAAGGAAAAAATTGTCACTTCCATGGTCTACCCGTTTTGAAATATGCATGGGGTTGGCACGTGGTCTCTCATATCTCCATGAGGAATCACGCATACGAATTATACATAGAGATGTGAAATCTAGCAATGTTTTACTTGATTCGGATCTGACCCCTAAGATATCCGATTTTGGTTTGGCCAAACTTTATGATGACAAGAAAACACACATGAGTACTCGTGTTGCAGGCACAATGTAAGATTAATTAGTCGGCATTATTTAATTTACTCTATTTTGAAAAAGAGTAAATAACATATATTTTTTTTTATCCTTGAGTATAGATGATTTTTTCAGCTTTAGTCCTTATTTGAGGTTTTTGTAACATTTTTGGTCCATGTTTTTTTGAGACCAAAATTGCAAAAATCAGCTATACTTACGGACAATTATGTAAAGTAACCGACTTTTTGAAAATTACATTTTTGGTTCCCGAGTGTACTTGCTGATTTTTGCAATTTTGGTCCCCAAAAGTTTTCTCTTGTAGTTTTAGTCCTTATTTGAGATTCTTGTAACGTTTTTGGTCTCTGTTCCAAGTAAAATGGCTATTTTGGTCCCAAAGTTACAGTTATTTTACTTGAAACAGGGACCAAAAACGTTATAAAACGAAAATTTAAAAATCAGCTAGAATCTGGGACCAAAAATGTAATTTACCCACGACTATATTTTAAGGATCAAATTCGCAAAATTTAACTTTTCTTGGGAACAATAAATAGTCATTTTACTTGAATCACAAGAACCTCAAATAAGGACCACAATTCCCAAAGAACTTTTTGGTACCAAAATTGCAAAAGTCAGCTAGCCTTTAAAAAAATGATAAGTTGACTAAGTCTTATTGATTTAATATGTAGTGGGTATTTGGCGCCAGAGTATGCAATGCGTGGACACCTCACGGAAAAGGCTGATGTGTTTGGGTTTGGAGTTGTGGCTTTAGAGATTGTCAGCGGAAGGCCCAATTCTGACTCAAGTTTGGATGACGAGAGAATATATCTTCTTGAATGGGTATTTTTCATCATCATCATCATCTTCTTCTTCTTCTTCTTGAATTTAATAAAAAGGGTTAATGTCATAAAATCGCAACCAACTATTGAGAGTTTGTTAACTTTGGTATGAATTTTCAGGCATGGAACCTACATGAAGCGAACCGTGAACTCGAGTTAGTGGATGAAGAATTGTCTGAATTTGATGAAAACGAAGTGAAAAGAGTGATAAAAGTTGCCCTTTTATGCACGCAAACTTCACCAACATATCGACCATCAATGTCGCGTGTGGTGGCTATGATTTCGGGTGATGTTGAAGCAAGTGGTGAAATTACCCGGCCTGAGTACTTGACCGGTTTCAAATTTAATGATGCTACAACTTTTAAGAGTGCGGTTCCAACTTCAGCTTCAACTACAACTACAACTACAACTACGGGTAGTGATGGTGTCGCAAGTACGAGTAACTCGACTGTTTCACCATCACTACTTTCGCCACATGATGTTTCCCGACCCATGCTTCATGATATTATCGGAGAAGGTAGGTGATGTTGATTAATTACCTAAATGCCCTTCATGGTATATATAAATATGTAAAATCTTGTGATTTAGTCTTTAACTTGTGGATGGCCCGCGGGTTTATTAAACATGTATTTTCGACACGGGGACCATTTCTATAAGTTATGTGAACACATGGATAATTTCTGTAAATTTTCTATTAGGTAGGGACCATTTTTATAATTTTGTGAAACACTAGGAGCATTTTTGTTATTTTGCTTTTAGGCAGGGACCATTTATGTAATTTTATGAAACACATCGACCATTTCTGTCTTTCTACTATTGAAAGTGACAATTTATGTAATTTTGTGAAACACAAGGACCATTTCTATAATTCAGGTATTGGAAAGAGACCATTTCTATATTTTTGTGAAACTCAAAGACCATTTCTGCAATTTTGTGAAACATAAGAATGTCAAATAGAGTAGATTGCTATTGCCTATTGGTATCATTTGGTCAGTTAGTTTGTATCTTCAACTTTTTCCCTACAAAGTTTTTGTATCGGTTCTCTAATCACATTTTAGTACTATTATAGTAAATGCTTGTAGGGGCGTCTTAGTCAACATACAATTAAGCTTTGCAAAATCATTTTACAAAAAACAATTAATTATAGAAAACCATGTTATTAGAACTTTTTATTAAAAAATATTTTTATTTTTTTTCTTACGAAAGCATTAAATTCGAAAATATTGTTCTTTGATTCAACCTTAATAACAGTGCACTAATATTTAGATAAATGTTAGATAGTATAATTAGAAGACTAATGAACAATAAATTATAAATGAAAGAAAATATATGATTTTTTACAAAAATAAGAATCAAGTGTGAGGTGGAAGACCATACATGTCTCTTAAACAACAATTTTCTATGCATGAAGTAGTCAATCTACATGAGGAATAGTTGTTCTTTTAAAAGCAAAACATCATTAAATAAAATAGAGCTTGGAAAAACAAACAAGAGATTACAAAAGCAAAGAGAAAGCAAATAAACTGTATACAAGACATCAAAAAATCAAACTAAACAAAATTATGGGTGAACATTTGAAATGAACCAGACCGGCTCTTGAACGAGACCGGTTTGGAAGATATTGGTGGACCATGGACCACACCTGTTGAGGCTTAACGGATCTAGGTCCAGGGTTTTCGGTTCATGTATCCGTTGGACTTGTACAACTTTAGGTGTATATTGTACAACTCTTTGAAGCGCTACAAAAATTAGTTTATCTATTACAAGGCTTAAAACGAATACAAAACCAAAAACGACAAAATTATAGCCTAAAAAAATTCCTGAAAAGTTGAAAAATTCTTGATATTCAAACTTTGGAGACTCCAAGTCATTGAATATGAAACCAAAAACAACAAAAGTAATTTTAAAACCATATTCAAACTCTAAACTACACATGTTAATCCGACTTCAAACGAATAAGATATGTAGAAAAGATTTGCTAAAGATTTTTTTAAAAAAATTTTTGTTCCAAACCTGTTTTTTACCCGAACTGGACGGGTTTTGTACTTGGACCCATTTTGCTTGATTCCTAAAATTGAGAACCGACCCTATTCTAAAAAAGCGGCTAAATGCTCATCCCTAAGAAAAACAATATGGGAACTATATTAAATCCAGAAAGAAGCAACACCATTCCAATGAACTAAAAGGCAGCAACTGTGAATAAGGCCGACCCTTAACATATCACATATGCTTGGTGTAAGATGGCACAGGGCCCATATTGTCGCGGGGGGGGGGGGGGGATTATATATATATATATATATATATATATATATATATATATATATATATATATATATATATATATATATATATGAGATGTCGAGAATAAAATAAATGAAAAGCTGGTGGTGGACATGGCCACAAGATCCAAAATGAGGTGATACTTTTACTAGCTAATGAAATTAAACGATAAATCATTAATAAAGTAAAGGAAACAAAATATTACTCTAACATACTTGATTTTTCGATCAACGGCGGACCTAAGTGGTTCACGGGGGTCCCGGGTCACTACTTCGTTTCTGCTCCATAATGCAAACTTTTTTTTTCTTATTAGAATGCAACCTCTATACAAAATAACATAATTAGTGTTGCTATTATTTTTTGATGTCACTACTGTCAGAATCTTCCACATCCATCAACATTTTCGATGATGAATAAGGGAACGAAAGAGAGAATAAAGAAACATGTATCTTAGTGAATTCAAAGTAAATAAAACAGGATGTTAATTAAAGATAATCTCAATAACTAAAATTGAACATTGGCATTCATGGAGAAGGGTGAGTCCTAGTTCTGAAATAGAAATCAAACGTAGAGACTAAGGATGCGTTTGGTTGTGAAATTTTTTTCAGTTTTCTAGAAATTTTTTTCAAGAAAAACAGAAATTTTGAAAACACGTTTGATTCATTCATTTTTCCAAAGTTTTCTAAGAAAATGAAAATTTTTAGTTTTCCAAATTGTATGTAAATTAGAAAAGTGATTTTTATAGTTTACCAAATTTCTAAGATGGAAAATAAAAACTCCATCCGTTCCAACCAAACACGTTTTCATTGAAAATTAAAAATGAAAACTCAACCCTATTTTCAGAAAACATTTTCATAGAAAATGAAAACAGTTTTCCACAACCAAACGCACCTTAATTCTTTGGAAAAATATCAAAAATAGGGACCAATATTGCAACTGTTAGTAAAGCTTAGTGATATTCTTGTAATTTACTCTAATGATTATCAAAAGAGTAGAGTTTGAGATAGAGCTGCGACGACTATAAGCTGGGAAGAAAAAAAAGTCTTACACTGTATACATTATATATATATATATTATAATGACGTTAATTTATGATACTCTAAACGGAAGCAACTATGGTCGGAGGCGGTGGCCGTAGAGGCAATAGGATTTCTGCGATCATGACACCACGGTTGTGGTTGGGCGTGTGCTTTTGCTTGATGATAACCGCCGACGTAACTCGAGCTCAATTCAACACCGATCCAGTTGAAGGTATTACGTCATCCACTGTGTGTTTGTGTGTTATTTTAATATTTTATGCTCTCCTTCTCCATGGCTACTCCTTTCTGCTCTATGTGTGTTGGTGAGAAAGAAATTCGTGTATCTCATTTATTCAGATTTTGATTTAAGTTTACATGTTTGATGTATATCTAACTAGGATCGTAATTAAACACGTTTGAGTTTATATACATATATCGAGTTATTCGAGCTCCAACTCAAATTGAAATTCTTTGTATTAAGATTTATTGAGCTCTCTCTTAGATTAAAATTGTTTAAAGAACATGATTTTTTATTAATAATTATAAGTTTTATAAAATAGGAATTATAAGTTTATTAATAATTATTATAAGTTTTTAAAATATGAGTTATATATATATATATATATATATATATATATATATATATATATATATATATATATAGTTGTATCGCACAACTTTATAAAACATTAATTATTATATATAGAGAAACGAATTTATTCCTATACATCAGTTTATCTCGATAAACAATAATTTATATTTTATAGAGTTGTATTATACAAATTTATAAAATTATTTAAGGGGAAAAACCATACCTTATGAATCAATTTTCTTATAAAAACATTAATGCATATACAATTATTGTGGATATAAGGTATTCATAATTGTATTTAACAGATTAATTACTTTTTTAGAATTGAAAAAAAAAAGTACTGTACACCAAGCGAACCCAATCCACATATTATTTTGGCCTATACCAAAAAAAAAAGACTTGTGAATTGCATCTGTACCACTTGATGTATTAATTTTACCATCGCATATATTATAACATTTGGATTGGATGCTCGTGATGTACATTCTTGGATTATAATTTAGATGATTTTCTTTCTAGATTAAAATGATGTCTTACAATTATTATAAATCTTTGAAGTCAAAATCATATCCCAAGAACTTATTCAGTGGATTATTTATAGGGATTACCAGTATCTGGCAATAGTCATTTTTAATCACCGAAGATTTAAGTAGGCAACAGTAGTCTACCAAATTTAATGTTTAGGAAGGTGATATTTTTATTTAATTTAATTTTTAATTCATCCAATTATATGATTTGATTGTTATATTATTGTTTTAATCGAAAAGAGCATATGAGAAATATAAATATCAAATTATTTTATTTTTAAATGTATGAAAATCATCCCCGGTTGTAAAATGGCCATACTAAATATACACTCTTAAGATTTTTATATACTATCTATAGTCTCTATGTCTGATTATTTGAAGATACTCATATTCACCATCACTCACAACACATTATAAAAAATATACTTTTATAGATAGGGGCATGACAGTCAGATATGAAGGGTGAAAATATAATTACCGTTATAAACTGTGGGAAAAATCGTTCAATTAGATATGAAGAGTGAAAATATAATTACCCTTATAATTGTGGGAAAAACCATTCAATTAGATATGAAGAATGAAAATATAATTACCCTTATAATTGTGGGAAAAACCATTCAATTAGATATGAAGAATGAAAATATAATTACCCTTATAATTGTGGGAAAAACCATTCAATTAGATATGAAGAATGAAAATATAATTACCCTTATAATTGTGGGAAAAACCATTCAATTAGATATGAAGAATGAAAATATAATTACCCTTATAATTGTGGGAAAAACCATTCAATTAGATATGAAGGGTGAAAATATAATTACCGTTATAAACTGTGGGAAAAATCGTTCAATTAGATATGAAGAGTGAAAATATAATTACCCTTATAATTGTGGGAAAAACCATTCAATTAGATATGAAGAATGAAAATATAATTACCCTTATAATTGTGGGAAAAACCATTCAATTAGATATGAAGAATGAAAATATAATTACCCTTATAATTGTGGGGAAAACCATTCAATTAGATATGAAGAATGAAAATATAATTACCCTTATAATTGTGGGAAAAACCATTCAATTAGATATGAAGAATGAAAATATAATTACCCTTATAATTGTGGGAAAAACCATTCAATTAGATATGAAGAATGAAAATATAATTACCCTTATAATTGTGGGAAAAACCATTCAATTAGATATGAAGAATGAAAATATAATTACCCTTATAATTGTGGGGAAAACCATTCAATTAGATATGAAGAATGAAAATATAATTACCCTTATAATTGTGGGAAAAACCATTCAATTAGATATGAAGAATGAAAATATAATTACCCTTATAATTGTGGGAAAAACCATTCAATTAGATATGAAGAATGAAAATATAATTACCCTTATAATTGTGGGGAAAACCATTCAATTAGATATGAAGAATGAAAATATAATTACCCTTATAATTGTGGGAAAAACCATTCAATTAGATATGAAGAATGAAAATATAATTACCCTTATAATTGTGGGAAAAATCATTAATGCATGTTTACATGTGGGCTGTGGCAGACGCAGAAACTTTCCATAGTAATCGCACGGAAAAAAATTCCGACTAAATATAAAATAATAGTGACGCTGATTTTTAAAGACGTTGAACGTTAATAGAAAAACAAAAAAATTAAATAAATTAAATTAACGGACGAAATGAGAGTAGTAGCCTGGACCCGCGAAACACATACATCTGCCCCTGCATATGAGTTGGGTTGGAATGAAAAGTTGAATACGTGTGTCAGAGGCAAAATTGCAAGTTGTATAATAATATAATGATCGCTAGTTGACAACATAAATGGATGTAAGCAAAGGTCGATATACATGTATGTCTAGGTTAGCCATAAATGGATGTAAGCAAAGGTCGATATACATGTATGTCTAGGTTAGCCCATGTATCTCTTAATTTTTTTTGCAGCGAAAATTTTTAAAAAATTTTCGGCACAACATATTTTTCCAGTATACTACCTTGCTATTTTATGTCAGACATCATCGGATATAAGTTGCACATTCTAAAAGGTGTTATTTGTGAAACATAATTTCAATTATATTCAAATTAAGTTTTTCTTTTGGAAACAACGAATGATAATATAAAGTCACACGATTAACAAGAAACTAGTTGGGGACGAAAGCAAAGATACAAATTACAAATTACAACATCGAAAACGGGGAACAAGCACACTTCACCCATTTACATACATTTTTGTATCCCCTATACGTGCTGATGCTAAGTTAACACTATTGAAATTACATCATCAGCTATTATAGCAGGGGATTGTATCGTATTACTGAAAAGTTTGTTATTCCTTGCTTTTCATATTCACCACATCACACCATAGAGTATAGTATGATGAATAATCTTTTGCATTTTATTGGGCAATTACCCCAATTTGCTCTGAAGTCTAATAACTTGATCATCCACTTTTGAGAAATGTTGGCGAGGAATATCACACCATTTAAAAACCCAATCAAGAGTAGTTTTTGCAAACGGACAACTGACAAGGAGGTGATCCGCCGTTTCCTCTCCTATGTGTCACAGATTGTACAGCTAGTTGAGGGTATAAGAAATTAAGTTTTTTTTTTTTTAAAATAAATAAATAAATTTGAATATCTGGAAAACCATAATCAGCACACTTTAACAATGATTTTTTTTTCAATAGAAAAACTCCTATATTCTGTCTGATACTTGAAAAGGCATTACGAAAACTAAGGATAATTTGAACTTATTTTAATTAAGTTATTATTTAGCTACTAAATCCGATGGGTTATGAATCTTTGTAATAATTGTTGACCAAAATAAGATATATAGTATTGACTATTTTGGATTGTTTTGATGTATATTGGAATGGATTAGTTAGAGCTGCACATTCACAGTCATGGATCAATTTCAAGTCGGTCTTGAAAAGATTCGGGTTTTTTGGGCCAGTTTCAGAATGGTTCAGTCTTTTTGATTTTGGAACCAATCTTGGACTTTTTCCGTCCACTTTCACTCTTTTTCCATGCATTTTTTTTGGTTCAGTTTCAGTATATTTTTTTTAGCTACTAGTCTTTTTGAGACCGGTCGCGAGTTGGTCTTGAAACGATCCTGTGTCGGTCTCAGAATGGCCCGGTCTTTTTTAAAACCGGTCTCGAAATGGATTGTTTTTTTTTTTTTCGTCGGACTGGTCTTTTTTCCAATATGGTCTTGATTTAGACCTGTTTGGTCGCGGTTTTTTTTTTCGGGTGAGGCCGGTCTTCTGTTCAACTCTAAATATTTTTCGAAGGAGTTGTTTGTTAGTGGACTATTTTGGAGTATACTCTTTTCTAACAAGACTAGAGTGCACATTTACTTTTTTTTTTTTTTTCAAAATCAGTCTAGATTTTAACCGTTTTATTTTTCAGGACCGATTTCGGTTAAGACCGGTTATTTATTTATTTATTTTTAGTTTTTTGAGCTTTGAATACATACACGGTCTAACAGGTTCTTTTGTAGGAAAATTGTTTTTTTTATAAAAAATGTTTTCGGTTAAACCTGATTTTTTCTTCTTATTCTACTTAAACAAAGTTTGAAATTTGATTTACATAAAAACAAGATAGTTTAACCTTCAAATTATATAAGAAACAACATAGTTTGAACCTCATATTACATAAAAAAATAATATCGAAACTTAAAATTACTAGCAATTATAGTCTTGAACTTCAAATTACATAAAAACTTCAACAAAAGTTTGAACTTCGAATTACATAAGAAACAATATAGTTTGACCTTCATATTACATAAAACTAAACGTCGAAACTTAAAATACTAGGAATTAGAGTCTTCAAATACTAGCAATTGAATATTTCTAATCCGAGAACTCTTCAAAATCACCCTCATTCTACTTTGATTGTTGGAGATGATAGTCCATGTGCAAACATTTCTTCGTCTTGGATATGTTCTTCGAATGATGGTACAGAGCGGCCAATTAAAAGAGACACAAATTTGTATCCTCTCAACGTCGTTCAAACAAACACATACTGTTAACGCCTGGATGGTTAGTAAATCATGGGCCATGGAAGCTATAATAAAATAATTGAGGTTTATTTTCTTTCCATCAAGCCAAAATATCAAGATTGTTAAATTCCTTGATGGTAATTTAAGTGGACTAAAAACTTCATGCCATATAAATGTCCAATTCGCTACTCAGGGCCAAAGTTCTTTTGTGTTTAGTAACATCCTCTATCAAAGTGTTATATAGTTAATTAAGAACTCGATGTTGAATGAAACTGAAGAAACTTGGTGCTGCAGCGAGAGTTATAAATGCAATGTTCGGTCAATGGGAGATATCTGAAAGTGCAGTAACAGCGATGGGATGGAACATAAGCGGAGAATTATGCAGCGGCACTGCCGTTGACACTACCACCGACTTCGATTCCCAGGGTTACAATCCCGCCATCAAATGCGACTGTAATATCCCAAATGCTACTGCTTGCCACATCACCCGATTGTGAGTGCTTCTGTCATATCTGAATGAACTTTACGAACATCGTCTTTTGGCCACTTCGGTTGTTACTTCTTATATGCATTCTGTTTGTCTTTTTAACAATCATTATCATTATTTCCCCCTAAATCACCAGAAAAGTTTATTCAATGGACGCTGTGGGCCCGATCCCAGAAGGACTCTGGACTTTGAGATACCTTACCAATCTGTATGTATTCTGCTATTTCTTCACTGATATATTATACTGTTAACTATTATTGAAAGCTAAAAACCTATGACTATCCATGCTTGTATTCAGCTAACAATGAATTGTTTGCTGCAGTAATTTGGCCCAGAACTACTTGACAGGTCCCTTGTCACCTTCTATTGGCAATTTAACTCGGATGCAGTACATGTAAGCCATCCCTTTTTCATACTAGTATAAACTCAATTGAAAATTTTGACCTCTACATCTTTAATAAGAGATTTCAGATTTATAATGATGAATTTGAACTTTTTTATAGGACTATCGGTACCAATGCGTTATCAGGGCAGGTTCCACCAGAGCTTGGGCAGCTTACTGATCTTAGATCACTGTATATTTCTTCCTATTTTGTTTGTCTTTCTGCCATCAGGCAACAATTTCTTATGTTTAATTATTTGTTGTTTACAATTTTGTATTCTATATATATTCTTTTTATGTTGCAGGGGATTTGGCTCAAATAATTTTAATGGTTCTCTGCCATCTGAACTTGGAAATTTAAGATTATTAGAACAAATGTAAGAACATTGATGATTATGATATGTAACGAGTTCCATTGATTAAATAATCTAATATCATCTTCATGCATGTTCATTTTGTCAGTTACTTTGATAGTGCTGGAGTTGGTGGTGAAATACCTCCTTCATTTGCTAATTTACGGAACATGCAGACAGTGTAATTGCATATATCTTTAATCATGTTTCAAAGTTGTACTTCATCCATCATATAATAATTTTGACACTTTTCTTTTTCATAATGAATTCACAGATGGGCTTCTGATAATGGATTCTCAGGCAGAATACCGGACTTTATAGGAAATTGGTCACAGTTACGATCATTGTAAGCAAGCATCTAAATTATTTACATGATTTTCATTGTGAAGTTTTTCGATATAAGTTTTATGCTTGATGTTCCTATAGGAGGTTTGAGGGGAACTCTTTTGAAGGTTCAATACCACCTTCATTTTCTAATCTGACCCTTTTACAGGACCTGTAAGCCTTTATTTTATTTATAATTGATTATTATACATTGGAAGTTGCTATTTTGATCTTGTAATTTGCTTTTTATAATGTAACAGGAGGATAAGTGGTTTATCTAATGGAACTCTGGATTTCATTAGGGATTTGAAGTCCCTCAATGTTCTGTGAGTATATATATTTGATCTTTCTTAAGTAAATATTATGATTTTTCTGAAGATAAAATATAATGAGAGGGCAATTCTTGCAGAATGTTGAGGAATAACAGAATTTCTGGCTCTATTCCATCTGACATAGGAGAATATGTAAACTTGACGCAACTGTTAGTAATTTGCATTCTGATTGAAGTATCTGAATATATAAATTTAATTCCATTATATAAATATAAACTTATAAAAAAGGTGTCTACTTTTCAGGGATTTGAGTTTTAACAATTTGAGTGGGCCAATTCCAAGTGCATTGTTCAACTTGAGCCAAATGTCTTTTCTGTAATACACTTTTTCTCCTTTGATAAATAATTTTTTGCTAGCAATTAGGACAAGGAGTCTTTGATGTTGGAATAAAATATTGGTGCTAGATTTTAACATCTAATACATATCCAAAATCTAAATTTACATGTCGCATTTTTAGGTTTCTTGGAAACAATAGTTTAAGTGGTACTCTTCCAGATGTAAAGACTACAACTCTCCGAAATATGTAAGTGATTATAGGATAGTTAATTAAGTGGAAATGAATTTCATTATTCTAATCTCCATATAATTTACTTCATGCAGTGATTTGTCATACAATGTACTATCTGGGACACTTCCTTCTTGGGTCAATGAACCAACCTTACAACTGTGCGTGCTTTATTTTAAATATGGTTTTTATCTTCCTATCTATACCATGTTTTTGAAATGTGACCTCTTTGAAAAAGTGGCAAACATTCATTATTTTTCAACACATTTTGGAGCTAATATCATGTTTCTATTCCGTGTACATGCAGTAACATAGTTGTGAACAACTTCAATCTAAATGGTTCAAACAGGTAATTATATTGAATATGCAACATAGTAACTTACCTCTACATTTCATACCAGGTACTTTTTTTATTTATGTGCAAATAACAAAAGTAACCTGTTGTATTATGGTTAGTTTTGTAACAACACTTGGTTGGGCTATTGAATAATCATTTCAAATATAAAAGTTTACTTCCAAAAGATTATAGTTGCTGAATTTAGGTCCGAAAAGTTTAAAACACCATGTTTACTAGGGCTGTAAATGAACTGAACGAACACGAACGGAGCTTGTTCATGTTCGCTCATTTAAGTTAGCCGAACAAGTAAACGAACACAAACAGATAAACGAACGAGTTTTCTTGTTCATGTTCGTTCGTTTATGTTCGTGAACATGTTAAATGAATATAAATAAACGAAAATAAATGAACAAAGATAAAAAAAAAACATAATTGAAGATATATGAACATATAATACACTCATGTAATCAAACACAATTAGGCATATGTGAACATAAAATGGACTTATATGAACGAACATAAACAGACGTAAACGAACAACATAAATGAACGTTCACGAACATAATTGAACGAATGAGATCATTGTTCATGTTCGTTCGTTTATTAAATAAACGAACATAAACAAACTTCCTGTCGAACAGTTGATGAACATTTCGCTGAACGTCTAGTTCATTTACAGCCCTAATGTTTAGTTAAGCGAGATGGATGCAAACCTTAGCAATTAAATGGTCAGACAGATGATAAAGAACGAGAGCAAAAGGCCTCGATAACTTTTATTCTCAAAAAAAATATTCATTGTTCTAAAACTCTAGGAAAAAAACAAACTTATAGGGAATTAGAATTACCCTAGAAAAAAAATAGGAAATTAGCAAAAATATTCCTAGAGATTTCAATTAGATATAATACTCCATAAATAGAGATAACCTTCTAAAGAAATCTTTATTATTTAAATAAAAAAGAAATTAACTTAAAAGGGAATAAAATCAGCTAAGGCTTTGATCGGATGTCTACGCATCATCCTCCCCTCCTTTAAAAAGACTCGCGTGCACTTCTTCCAAATCTCCTTAAAAAGGTGACAAATCTACAATATTGAAAGTGGCTAAAACATTATAATGACACGGGAGTTCAATTTTATACGCATTGTCATTAATCTTATTAAAAAACCCAAAAAGGATCATCAACACGAGGCTTCAACTTCCCGAAACGACCCGTTGGAAAACGCTCTTTTCTCAGATGAATCTACACCAGATCATCCTCTTTGTAAATGACTTGCTTTTGATGTTTATTAGAGCGACTCTGGTATCTAGCATTATGTTTAAGGATCTGATATTTGAACCTTTTGACGTAGCTTCTTAATCTGTTGAGATTGGTTTTCCCCTCAACACTAACATGCTCAACTAGAGGAAAAGGTGTTAAGTCAAGTGTAGTGAGCGTATTTCTCCCATAAACTATCATGAATGGATTCAACCCGGTCGTGCGATTGGCAGAACGGTTATAAGTAAATTCTGCCTGAGCAAGGATGAGGTCCTACTGCTTAGGATTGTCTCCGATAAGGCTTCACAACAAGTTCCCTAGACTCTTGTTTGTTACTTTCATTTGACCATCCATTTGGGGTGGTGAGAAAAACTAATTTGTAAACTTGAACCTACACTCTTCCAAAGTGAGCGCCTGACAAACTTCACGTCACGAAATGATATTATGGTCTTTAGAATGCCATGGAGCTTGACAATTTGAGAAAAATATAATCTTGCAATTTGACTAGTATCATAGGTCTTGACACATGGCACAAAATGAGCCATTTTAGAGAAGCAGTCACCAACCATAACCAAATCTTTATGCCTTTGAGTTCGAGGTAGACCCAAGACAAAATCTAAAATAACATCCTCCCAAGGGGCAACGGGAACGGGTAACAAAGTGTATAAACCGGCATTGGTGTGCTTAGTTTTGGCCACATGACAAACGCGACAATGTGTGATCACGTAGGCGCAATCTCACTCCATTTTTGGCCAATAGAAACGATCATGGATCAAGTTCAAAGTTTTGTCCCTTCCAAAATGATCCACAAGACCCCACTTCAAAAATAATTAAGTCCCTTTAAGGAACTCACATGAACACACAAATGAGCACCTTTGAAGAAATAACCATCATGTTTTGAAAAATCTCTTTAAGGGAGTTGTTCTGACAGATTGTTTTGAAGTCGGGATCATCCTAGTACAACTCTCAAAAGGTGTCAAAACCACGGACCTGAATTTTCATCTCTGAGCACATGTCGTCGATTTAATGCATCAACCACGATATTTGACGATCCTACTTTGTGTCTTATGCAAAGGAATAAGATTGCAAAATTTTGACCCATTTAGCATGATGAGGGTTGAGATTTTACTACCCCGATGTATTTGAGTGCTTCATAATCAAAGTATAGAATGAATTCATTGTCTAACAAGTAATGACGCCAATATTCCAAACTCCAAACAATGGCATAAAATTCCTTATCATACTTGGAATATTTGTGACGTGTTTCGTTAAGCGTTTCGCAAAAAAATGCAATGGGTTTCTGGTTTTGGCTAAACACTCCCCCAATTCCGAGACCCGAGGCGTCACATTTCACCTTAAATATTTCATTAAAGTTAGGACAAACCAAAACAGGGTTGTGTGACATTTCGTTTTTACTCCTCAAAAACATTCTCAACCTTTTTTGTCCAATAAAACTTTCCCCCTTTCATACATTCCGTCATGGGGGCAATAATACTACTAAAATTCCAGTTGAAGCGTCGATAAAACGAGGCCAACCTGTGGAAACTACGAATGTTGTGAGTCGTAGTGGGTGTAAGCCAGCTGATAATGGCTTAAACCTTTGATTCTTCCATCCTTATGTCATCGTCCAAAACTAAATAACCAAGAAAAATAACTTTGTTAGGATGGAAGTGACACTTCTTTCTGTTAGCATACAACTTCTGCACCCATAAGATCGATCGTAAATACCTGTTGAAGCTGTGCTACATGTTACTCCATGTCACTGTTGAAAACCAATATATCGTCGAAGTAAATATCAACGAAGCAGCCGATAAATGATTTGAAAATGTGGTTCATTAGACGCACTTGGTGCGTTTGACAAACCGAATGTCATTACCAACCACTCATATAACCCGTCATATGTCTTGAAAGTGGTCTTCTACTCATCACTGGGTCACATACGAATCTGGTGGCACTCGCTTTGTAAGTCAATCTTGGAGAAAACTGTTGATCCATGCAACCGGTCAATCGAGGAATTAGGAACCGGTATTTAGCAATTATTTTTTAATAGCTATGCTATTAATACGCATGCGAGAAGAGCCTCCTTATTTCGGAACTAGCAAGGCAGGAGCGACACACAGACTCTACAATCCCGTATTAACCCTTTTTCAAGTAACTCGTTGACTTGTCGATGTAACTTCCAATTCTTTGGGGTTCATGCAATAGAAGGGATTATTTGGAATGGTGGAGCCTGGTAAAAATTAATACAATGTTGGATTTCTCTTATTAGTGGTAGACCAGGTAGGATATCACTTGGAAAACACCTTGAAACTCCTTGATTAAAGGTTGGATATCACTTGGAAAAACACCCTGAAACTCCTCGATTAAGGGTTGGATCAGTTTAGGGACGGGTGGGGTTGGTTTGTTTTATTTTGTTACCACTAGAGCATACATGAGGGTTTAAGGAGTAAGCTTGGTTAACCCCCTGATTTCAGCCTTTGATAGAAATAAACTACCATTGCGGTTATCTCTTGTGTTGAGGGGTGCTAATACTATATTTACTCCATAATTCTTGAAACTTTAAGTGTTTAAAAACCCATCATGCTTGGTCCTCCGATCATACTGCCAAGGCCTTCCTAGTAGGATGTGACACACATCCATGGGAATTACCTTACACCAGATCTCATCAATATATTTTTTCCCAATCAAAAATTGAACCAAAAAACAGTTACTTACTTTGAAAACAATCCTCTCCTTCAGCCATGTCAGTTGATACGGTTTTGGGTGATTTATCGTCTTAAGGGCTAGCTTCTCTATCACTTTTGTTGCCACCATGTTGTCACAACTGTCTCCATTGATTATGACGTTGCAAATTTTCTCTTTTGTTACGCATTTGGTGCGAAAAATGTTATTTTGCAACCACGAGTTATCATCAACTGTTTTTTGACACATCTACATTTAAAACACCTTGGGCAATCAGAAGTTCACCATGATCAACATATACCACTTTGGGTTCGTCCTTATCACTCTCCTTTTCATCTTTGGTATCATAAATAGGAGTTGATTCTTCCACAAAGGAGCTAACTGCTTGTTTGGGCATTCTCTAGCAATGTGTCCCACACCATCACACTTGAAGGATCGAACAATACGGGGTCATGATGGGTTGCTGATAGTACTTGTTGGGGTGTCGAATTTAGGGTTCGGTTTCTTGTTAGTTTCTGTCGATGGTGATCGGGAAGATGTTAAAAAACCTGCTACTGCCTCCTGGTTTGCCTCAGATCTTTAACTGTTTTTCCACCATTAAAGCTAAGCGACATACGTCCAGTACTGTATGATATCTGCAATTTTAGGTTTAGGAGCACCAAAAAATTGAGCAATAACTTGTTCTTCCTCTTCTTCAACAACACAACGCATTCTGAGTTGATCAAATTTTGCGAGAAAATCTTCAACAGAGGAACCCATTTGGCCAACATTATGGTGATCCAAAAGGGCTTCTTGACAGTGAATAATTGGAAGCACCTTACCTTGTAGTAACTTCTTCATCTTTGACCAAGGCTCAACTCTGGTCTTCCCATCCGTCTGGCGCCATTTTTTCTCGTGTTCCCACCAAAGTGAAGCAGACTTTCGAAGCTTTGTGGCCACAAGCAAAAAATACTCGCTCCATTGTGTTCACCCAATCAATAAAATCATCTGGATGGGTCTTACCATCAAACTTAGGAATCTCTATCTTCATTCCCAAGTTACACAAAGGGTCTTCATTGTTTTGTCTTTGGACATGTTGTTGGTATGTTTCAAAGGAATTCTACCGGGGGGAACCTAGAGGGTTCTTTTGTTCGTCTTCAAAGTTAAGTTCCGAAACAGCCTCCTCCGAATTTCTCTCCTCCTATAACAGTTCCAACTTCCTTACTCATTGTAATCTTTCAATTTCTATATCATGTGGGTCAGGTTGCTCATCGTCGTTGCCTCTATTGGCGTTTCCATGAGGGTTACATCTACCACGTCCGACCATTGAAAGACAACATGTTGCTCTTATACCAAATGATGCAAACCCTAGTAATTAAATCGTCAGAGAACTAGACACGTGATAGAAAAAGAGAGCAAAAGGTTTCGATAACTTTTATTCTAAAAAAAATATTCAATGTTCTAAAACTCCAGAAAAAAAAACAAATTTATAGGGCAATTAAAATTACCTTAGAAAAAACAGGAAATTAGCAAAAAGACTCCTAGAGATTTCAATTAGAGATAATACTCAATAAATAGAGATAATCTTCTAAAGAAATCTTTATTATTTAAATAAAAAAGAAATAAACTTAAAAGGGAATAAAATCAGCCAAGATAAGGATGTGACCGGATGCCCTTGCAGATTGTCACAATTAATACACAACGAAGGTATAAGTAGCGTAAGTATCTTTACACAACCACAATATTCTAAATGTGAATAGATATCTATATACAAGTGTCATGCTTGGTGAAGAAACATCTCAAAACATATAAATCCAAACATCAACTCATGAAATATATACAACAAATAGAAGTATGCAATGCATACGCTAGTACTCCTAAACCCCAAGTTAATCTCAAAGTCTCATCTCACACTTGATGGCTAAACTTTCAGGCCCGTGTGATGATAGCACATAACACAACAACACACTTCTCATACCATATGGGCCTATGTGAAATGTCATATTTCTCATACCCATCCAAACTAGTTTCTAGGGAATCATCTCCCTCACACCACACAAGAGGTAGCAGATCCTTTGTGCAAACCCACATAAGGGGAATATCTTAAACCGACAAAAGAATTATCTCAAAATGAGAATACCTGAGTCACGCGGTCTCAATCCCATCATAAATACATGCTTAAAATCAAGTTCAAATGTCAAATTGTCCCCATTACAAAACTCAAATCCAAACTCATGTGCAACAAAAATCATTTCATATCCATTGTATGAATGCATAAGACATATGACATTTCAAATAAAAAGGAAAGTTAGATAAAAACAAATAAGAGGACATGTATTTATGGGTAATAAGTTGCCTTAAGTAGTTGCAATAGTCTTATTCACAATATAGTTAGGTTAATTACATCCTAATTACACCTTCATTAGAAACTCAATCGAACTCCTAAATTACCATAGGATTTTGGATTTAGTAAGTTTCAAAACTCAAGGTTCTCAAATGAAGAAGGTGCCTAGAAATTATACCTTCTAATTAAAGCTCCTATTTGATGATTCTAGCACAATCTCTTCACGAGCACTTCAATCAAGCTTCAATTCTTCCTTCAAGCTCCAAAATTGTCACACTAAGACACTTTCAACCTTCCAAATGCTTTAAATGAGAAGGAAAAGGGAAGTGTTTGGGTTATGTCTCAGCGTTTGACTACTTAACAAATTAAGTCCCTATTTTTCTTATTTTCCCCCATTTGATCACTAAGTGAGTCTACACTTAACTAACTCGCAAAGTTATTAATTCAACCCTAATTAACAAATTTCGTAACTAAAATAGTCCCTCAAGGTTTTAGTTTGCTCAAAGTCATCGCAAAATATGGAACTTTCCTAAAATACCAAGTCAACTAACATTTAATGTAATAAATAAAAAATTAATTCACTAAATTTGTTTTTATTATGACTATTTTATTATTACTTTTTTATTTTATTTATTTAAGTAAATTAGTTAAAGGGTAACCCTCACAGACAGATGTTACAAGTTTTGCAGTTTAATCATAAACACTTTATTTTTTCCAATCAAACCATGGAAGTTCAAATTTTTTTTTTATCATGTTAAGGATTTTGATATGTTATATGAGGTTTCGGTAAATTTGTTATATCTGTTCAACATTAATTTTTGAAATACCATTTTGACCAGGCCAAAATGTAGATTTTGGAAATGTTTTTGAAACTATTATGGTTTTGATTTGAAAAAAATAAAATATAACCTGGTAAACCACAAAGTTGCCCATGGTTATTTTCTTACTAGTTTTCCATTTATTCAATTGTTCTTTTTTAATCGAAATGAAAATAATATGAGACACCTTTGTCTCCAGTGGTTTTCCTTTAGGTTTAAATTGTCTCCAAAGGGATTTCCCTTGTGATCATGGAACGCCAAGATGTAAGCAACAACATTAAGTTTTTTTTTTCTTATTATTATAACAATTAATTTGATTTGTGGAGTATCGATTTCATGTTGGTTTACACTTTACAGATACTAACTTTGGAATCAATTGTGGTGGTCCACAAATCACATCCTCAAATAGAACAGTCCACGAACAAGAAAACGAACCTTTAGGACCGGCAACATACTATTTGACTCCCGAAAGGAGGTGGGGTGTCAGCAACGTGGGACAAAGGGACAACCCCATATACACAGTCTCCACTACACGCGACTTCACAAACACTTTAGATCCAGAACTTTTCCAAACAGCAAGACTCTCTGCTGGATCTTTAAGATATTATGGTTTAGGTCTTGAAAATGGTAACTACACTGTAAACCTCCGGTTTGCAGAACTTGTAATAGAAGATGGTTCCACTTGGAGAAGCCTTGGAAGGCGCATATTTGACATTTATATCCAGGTATGTGTTAAATACGCTTTCAGAATTGTAGATTTGGTCTTTTAGAAATATTGTTTTTAGTTGTTTGGACCCAGGGGAAAATGGTCATTTTTACAAAAACTAACAGCTCAACTGTTAGATTAGAGTAAATTACATTTTTGGTCTCTAAGTATAACTAGTTTTGGTCCCAAGAAGTTTCGTCTTGTACTTTTGGTCCTTATTTAAGGTTCTTGTAACGTTTTGGGTCCATATTGCAAAACCGAGCTATGCTAAGACTAAGAGACCAAAACTAGTCATTGTACTTGGAAGTCAAGAAGAGGAACCATTGAACCAAACATGTTACAAGAAACTCAAAAAAGGACCAATTGCTAGAGAAATCCTTTTTGGACCAAAACTGTAAAATAATCATTTATGTGCAGAGACCAAAAATAGTTATTTGGTCTTATAGATTTACGACAAAACTGCAAAAATGGTCTTTGTGGTTTGCGTTTTTTTCGGGTTTTGGTCCAAATTTTGAAAATTCCAATTCATGGTCTTTTTGCGCATCTTTCCTTGTGGATTTGGTCACCCTTCAAACTGAAAAGACTAATTTGCCTCTATTGATATTATTTTTAGATTTGTTCTATTTAAATTAAAGTTTTATTAAATAGAGTAAATTACACGAATTGTCCCTAGTGCAGGTGACAAATTACACGTTTAGTCTCTATTTTTAAATTTTAACTCGGATCGTCTCTCGTTTGTTTAAAAACTACACGCTTTATCCATGCAGATATGAAATGACAATATTGCCCTTATTAGGTTTTTTTTTTAATTCATCTATATTACCCTTAATTTCTTTTTATATTACACTTAATTCAATTATATAATTTACTTTAATTATCAAAGTAGTAGGTCACGTCCCTTTTATCACTATTCACTTATCTTTCTCTTTCAATGAAACCATATTTATCAATAGATGTTAGAGATTTAAACGCCACAGTCACCTCCAGTGAACTCCACCGGTAACCATAGACACTAGTTAGAAACAATACTCAAAATCAAAATCAATGATGAGATACCCAAATCGAACATAAACACTCTCTCTAGTCACTTTCTTTTAGAATTGATTTCAATATCTGAGAAAAATCAAAATTGAAAAAAAAAACCCAACAAGCAATTTCTCTAAGAAATCCTCACATTCTGTAAGATAATAGATTGATATTCAAAAGATAATTACATAGGAATATATAGATAATACCTAAACTCTAATAGCTAAATCCTAAAGGGCTTGGGCTTAAACCCTAATCACTAACACCCCTTCGCGGTTTGATTGGGATGGGACAATTAAACTGGTAAAACAAAAAAAATAAAACATAAAACCTAGATGAAGATAGCGGTAGCGGCGGTGGTAGGTCACTGACGATGGCGGCTAACATCAAATGTTTAACGGAGAAGAAGTGGCATTTAGAGATGAATCTGTTGTAGAAGAAGAGAAAAGTGATGACGACGACGATCATGTACCTGGTGTGAGATCTGAAGAAGATGTCAGCTGAGGAGGAGAGGAGGTAGAAGTAGATGATGCAGTAGAAGCCGATGAAAGAGTTGGTTTGGTGCCGGTGGCTATTTTTTTATTTAGGTGCAAAAGAGAAAAGAAAAAAATATTAAACATAATGAAGGCATCTCCGACGACTATTAGGGAAGGTCGCCAGAGGTGGAGGGCGAAGGCTGCGGGTTATGGTCAGGGTTTTAACCTATAGCTCTAATACCATGTAAGATAATAGATTGATTGATATTCAAAAGACAATTACATAGGAATATATAGATAATACCTAAACCCTAATAGCTAAACCCTAAAGGGCTTGGGCCGAAACCCTAATCACTAACACATTCCCTTGTAATCGAAAAGGCAAAATAAATCAGAAGGAATTACACTAACACACAATAATTTACGTTCCTTCTTATCTTGTTAAATTATGTAGAAAAAAACCAACCGATGATGTTTTCATCTCTCTCTCTCTCTCTCTCTCTCTCTCTCTCTCGGTATCGCACCAATACACAGACGAGGTGTGCGGGTTTTGTGTTTGTCTGATCTTTTTTATTCCGATCAGTAACAATTTAGGGTTTAGAGGGTGAGGTTTAGGTGACAAGATTTAGGTGATCTAAAATTTCAGGTTTAAATCCTTATGTAGGTCTATAGCCTCTATAAACATGGTTCTTTCTTCCTCCTGTCTTCTACACCTGCACCACTACTCAACCTTAGCCGCCGGTCTCCGACAACAACACAATTCGTCCGGTGGTTGGTCCTGCAACAACGATGGTCACCGGTCTCCAGCAACAATGGTGGTCTGTTTGGAGAGATAATTGTAGATCCGATATCATTGACACTGAAGATGAAGAGGGAGGAGATGCAATCGGTGGTGGTCCGCTGGTGGATGGTGGGAGGTTGGTGGTGACTTCACTAACGAGGTTTAAAGAATGAAGTGGAGGAAAATAAATCAATCTACCAACTTTAGGTTTAAGACTGTGTTTGGTGCACCACAACTAGCTGATAAACTAGCTTATTTTTCGAGTTTTTTTAAGTTGTTATGTTTGGCAAGCCAAAAAGTAGTTTTAAGATAGCTTTTTAAAAAACTACTTAAATTAGCTTCTTTTTTTTTTTTTTTTTTTTTTTTTTTTTTTTTTTTAATATATATCTCTTATTTTATTATAGAAACACATTCTTTTAAATGCCTTTTATGTTATTTTATATCTTTTAGCTAGTTTTACCAAATGTTATTTTTTATCGGCAGCTTTTCAGGTATCAGTTAGTTTTTGTTTTAACACTTAGTTTTTTATTTAACAACTAGTTTTTCAGTTATAAACTAACGCTTTAGCTAACAACTAACTTTTTAGCTAGTACGCCAAACATAACCAAAATGAGTGGGGGTAGGTAGCGGCTTACTTTATGTTTAAAGAAAATACAAATGATAATGGATAAATAATAAATAAGTAATAAGTAAATTATAAATAAAGGCAATATAGACATTTCTTGTGTGGCAAAGGTTTAAACATGTAAATTTAAACTAACAAGCGATGTAATATGCTAATTTAATACAACCGAGGGACGATTCGATTTAATTTTTAAAAATAGAGACTGAATGTTCATTTTGACACCTATACGAGATAGGATTCGCGTAATTTACTCTATTAACTATAAATTTGGGGTTCAATCACACTCTCTCTCTCTCTCTCTCTCTCTCTCTCTCTTTAATTAAAGACATTAGTTACAAAAACCTACAGGTTTGAACAATAAATCACTAAACATTGCCAAAACCCCAAATCTGGAATATTGAAACCAAAAACAGCACCAGTGACGTTATGTAGTAATTCCACATAAATAGCAACAACACCAAGGAAAAACCTCATACAGTACCAAACACCAAAATTTGAACTGAGAATATGTAATAAGGAAGATTAGCCCAGATCTTGAACTTAATATTCTAACATGATGCTTATGGATCATTATCTCAAGCATAGAACCTGTTTTGCCTCTGTAAGCTTTACAACAAACACTTTGAATATTAAAAATTACACACACACAGAGTCAATGGGCACATGTTTATGATGTATGTACTTTAGCCATTGCAATATGTACAAGAGAACCCAAATTCACTTTTTTCCATTTGAATCTCCTGCAAAAAATTTGAAACCAAAATTATCCATCATAATCTCCGAAGGAAATGGAATCGCGATAAGTACATCATTGATTGAAACACTGATTTATTGAACCTAAAAACTCGATATTCCCATCATCGTCATCCTCACCATCTTCACACATAAGAACAGAGATAGAGATGCAGAGGTGAAAACGTTTAACCTAACCTGATTCTTTTTCTCCTTTTTGTTGGGGAAGGACAGCACATGCACAAACATGAGAGAGAGAGAGAGAGAGAGAGAGAGAGAGAGAGAGAGAGAGAGCTCCACATTTATATTTAATGCAACTTTAATTTAAGTAGAATAAATTCTAAAAAAAATATCAAGAGGGGCAAATTAGTCACTTATATTTGAAGAGGGACCAAATCTACAAGGAAACACGCGCAAAAAATCATGAATCTAATTTTTCCAAGGTTTGGACAAAACACAGAAAAATTGCAAACCACTGGGGAAATTTTTGCAGTTTTGTCCATATTTAAAGACATAGACAAAGTTTGCAACAAAATGGAACTACAAGGACAGCCATGCAACGAGATTCAAAATTGGACTGAACCTGCTATTTCAATCAAACCATAGGGATCATTTTTGCAATATACTCTGGTTGAAATTATGTCCCAATTTCTATAAGTTAGTTTTTCAAATTTTGTTTTTTAGGGATACAGGGTGTTTGAAGATTTTGATATAAAAAAGGCAGCAGGGGGAGCTTCTTTTAGTCCTGTTACAAGGGAGGTGACGGTTGAGGTTATAAATAACTACCTTGAGATTCATCTATTATGGACTGGAAAAGGAACTTGTTGTGTACCTAATCAAGGAAATTTTGGACCTCTTATCTCAGCAATCAGTGCTACACCAAGTAAAACTCTTTCTAGAAATTGGTTTTAACTTTTTGGTCTTGATTATTGACAAAATAAAGAGACCACCCTTTGCTTATATTTTTGTTCAGATTTCATCCCCAATGTCGGTGTGAGCAACAATCCACCTTCCAACAAGAAGAAGAAGAAGAAGAAGAATACCGGTTTGATTGTGGTGTGGATTTTGGCTCCGATTGCAGTTGTGGGCTTTTTGACATTATTAGTCCTGTATATTCGTTGCCGGCGAAGCAAACAGAGGGATACACCAGGCAATTATGATGAAGGTGATATTTCTGGATCTTTATTTATGAAAGGAAAAATGTTTAATTTCATTTGTTACTTTTGGATTTCTTTTTGACTTTTACTAATTTGCAGAGTTTCTGGGAATTGACACCAAGCCATATACTTTTAGTTATGGAGACTTGAGAGATGCAACAGATGATTTTAGTCCTACCAATAAGCTGGGCGAGGGTGGTTTTGGACCTGTTTACAAGGTAATTTTATACTTTTTTTTTTTTTAATCAAGAATCCATTTTCATTTCTTAAAGTAGATGTAAACCATGTTTGGTCGGATGGAATAGAATGAGCCATTACATTCTGTGCTCATGTTTGGTTGGCGTGTCAGAATGGAATACGAATTTTCATGACTTTTTATAGTATATGTAAAATGAATATATAATTTTAAACTCTACTTTATAGATTATTTTAAGGGATAATCACTAAAATGATCAAAATGGGAGGCATCTATAGCGAAATGACCAATTTGGCAAAAAAGAATTTGCCAAATTGCTGTATGAATGGTCCCACTAAAAATTTCTCAAATAAAGGGAATTTGCATAATAAGCAGAATTTTGTAAATTTATTTTATTTTATTTTATATTATTTTATTATTATTATTATTATTATTATTATTATTATTATTATTATTATTATTTTTGTTTTTTTGTAGAGGAGACCACTTATAAAGCAATTTTACTAAAAAAAAAAGTTATATCGCAATTTGCAAACTCTATTTTGTTACATGGGTGGTTATTTTGCGACAAAATGTTAAAAAAAGTGGTCTTTTCGTGAGACCACCTATTTTGGTCATCTTTGTGATTATCCATCATTTTAATTATACTTGACGGACTTTGATTTACAAAAACATAATAAAAGATCATAAAAACCGAAATAAGCGATAACAAAAATACTAAAATAAATATAATTTATTAAAATAATATAAAAATTAAAAAGATCTGAATCCTTAAGTTTTACATAAATAAAAATGAGTTATATTTCCATTCCATGATATGGTGAAACATCACTGGGAACTGAAATCAACAAAATTAAATGAATCACAGTCCATAAATGGTCCATTCCATTCTGTCAGCAAACCAAAGTTTTTTTTTTTTTTTTTTTTTTTTTTTTTTTTTCATTCCAATGGAATGAACCATTCCATTCCTTCCCCTATCCTATTGTATCTTAAAATCTTTTTGATGATAAACAGGGAACACTTGATGATGGAAGAGTAATAGCTGTGAAACAACTCTCCATAGCCTCACACCAAGGCAAGTCCCAATTTGTTGCAGAAATCGTCACAATATCAGCAGTCCAACACCGTAACCTCGTGAAACTCTATGGATGTTGCATCGATGGAGAAAAACGTCTTCTTGTATATGAGTATCTTGAAAACAGAAGTCTTGACCAAGCATTATTTGGTGAGAAATTACATATTTAGATATGATCAAAATACAAGGTTATAATGTTACATTTGGGGTTTATGATGTAGGAAGCAACAAATTGTCGCTTACATGGTCCACCCGTTTTGACATATTAATGGGGTTAGCACGGGGTCTCGCGTATCTCCATGAGGAATCTTGCATACGGATTATACACAGAGATGTGAAATCCAGCAATGTTTTGCTTGATTCTGATATGAACCCTAAGATATCAGATTTTGGGCTGGCCAAGCTTTATGATGACAAAGAAACACACTTGAGTACACGTGTTGCAGGCACATTGTAAGATTAATTAGTCAACACTATTTGATTTAGAATAAATTACACTTTTTGTCCCCAAGTATAACTGATTTTTTCAGTTTTGGTCTCAAAAGTTTTCTCTTGCATTTTTGGTCCTAATTTGAGGTTTTTGTAACTTTTTCAGCCCCTTTCCATTTCATTTGACTATATTTTTGGGACCAAATTTGCAAACATAAGCTGTACTCAAGGACCAAAAATAGTCATTTTACTTGGAACGTGGACCAAAAATACTACAAGAAACTCAAGTACGGACCAAAACTCTAAAATAAATATTTCGGACATAAATTACAAAATTCAGCTAAACCCGGGGACCAAAAGTATAATACACTCTATAAAGGAATAAATTACATTTTTGGTCCTGCAGTATAGTTGATTTTTTTTTTTCAATTTTGGCTCTAAAAAGTTTTTTGTTGCAAATTTGGTCCTTATTTTAGGTTCTTGTACTATTTTCGTTTATGTTCCAAGTAAATGGGAAATGGCTATATTTTGGGACCACAATTCCAAAAATCAGCTATACTCAAGGAGCAAAAATGTAACTCTTTAAAAAAACATTGAGTAAGTTACAGTTTTGGTCCCTGAGTAATGAGTAGAGCTGATTTCTTCAATTTTGCTCAGAAAAGCTCCCTATTTGAGTTTTCAAACATTTTTGGTCCCTATTCCAATTTCCATGTAAATTGATTAAAAGTTGCAAAAATAAAATATACTCAGGGACGAAAAATAGTCATATTTCTTAGAATAGGATCAACATATGTAACAACCTCAAGTAAGGACCAAAATTGTAAGAGAAAATTTTTTGGTACAAAAACTGCAAAAATCAGCTACTCCCAAGGACCAAAAATGTAATTTACTCTTAAAAAAAGATAAGTTGATGAAGTCTTGGTGATTCACTGTGTAGTGGGTATCTAGCGCCAGAGTATGCAATGCGTGGACACCTCACAGAAAAGGCTGATGTGTTTGGGTTTGGAGTTGTGGCTCTAGAGATTATCAGTGGAAGACCCAATTCCGATTCAGGTTTGGAAGATGAGAAAATATATCTTCTTGAATGGGTATGTTTCATCATCATCTTCTTCTTGAATATAAAATAAATGGTTAATGTCATTGTATGGAAACCAGCTATAGACTGTATTCTGCTTAAGTCTCCAATCATTTAATGGGAAAATCGGGGGAATTACAACCTACGTCACTCTTTTTGCCACTATAGCAATTACTTTATTTTTTCCCATAATAGCAACATACTTACATTTCTT